TTATAATATTATATATATTTATAAAATTAATTTAAAAAAAAAATTTTTTAAACATTTTAATTTTTTATAAAAGTAAAATCAGAAGGGAATTTATAGTAAATAAGCAGGCAAATTTGCCTGCGAACCTCTACAGTTTAAGGGATAAAGTTTTATAAAAGCATAAACCATTACATAAATAAATTCCTGATAAAGTATATAAAGAGAATTATTAATCTTGATTATAATTTGATTATTTTTAAGTCAAAAATCTAATTTAAATAAGCTGAATTAAAATCTAAGTAAACATTTGGATTAAATTAGATATTTGAATAAAATTTTTTGCTATTCAATATTTTCTTACTAAAACTTTATCTTCCTAAAATGGCCGAACGCATTACTTGATCTGCGATAAGCATTTGAAAAAAAAAAAAATTCAAAAATTTTTTCTGTGTTGGACCAAGTTTAATTTCATATTCAGAATGGAATACGTGTAAAAAATTCATGAGGAGCATTTGTCTCAAAGACATCATTATATCATAAATAAACATCTAATAAAAAATTCATTTAAATTTTTTTTATTCATTCAAATAAAAATAATAATTTACTTTAAATTCAAAATTTAAAAATGTTAAAAAAAAGTTTTACGAAAAAATAAGAATAATAAAATAAAATCAAAAAAAAAAAAATTGAAATTTCAATTTAACATGGATTATGCATGACTTCCCGGCAATACTTTATAAATTTGATCACTTAAATCTTTTTCACCCTTTATATCTACTTTCAAATCATTCAATATTCCATTGTCAAGACGATAAGCCCATCCGTGAATTTCCAATTTCCTACCAGCAGCCCAGGCACTTTGAACGATATTTGTAGCCGCAATATTATAAACTTGTTGTTTAACATTTAATTCTACAAGCAAGTTCGATCGTTTCTCGGGTGCGGATGATTCTATCGTTGATTTGTTACTCTTATAAACATCCTTAATGTTTCTTAACCAGTGGTCAACCAAACCGTGTTGATCATTTGACATTGCAGCCAACACACCACCGCATCCATAATGACCTACACACAAAAAAACGCGTAAATTCAAATAAAATATCCGAACCGACATTTAACAAAGTAACGTGTAAAAATACTAACCACAAACTATGATGTGTTCGACCTTAAGATGGTCGACCGCATATTGTAAAACCGACAATGAGTTCAAATCAGCGTGGTTAAATTGATTGGCGATATTTCGGTGAACAAAAATTTCACCGGGTCCTAATTGAACCACAGTCTCGGCTGGAACGCGAGAATCGGAGCAACCTACACGCATACATTACACCACAAATTAGATGATGATCATTTTTTTTTGCTTTAGGAAAATTATATGCCGATCATATGTGACGTTAGAAAAAATTTACCAAACCAAGCGATCTTTGGATGTTGTGCTTTTGCCGTGGTAGTAAAGAATTCTGGTTTCGTCTCTGTAATTGATTTAGCCCATGCTTTGTTATTATCAAGAAGCCTTTGAAGATTCTCTCCAATCTCGGAGAAAGTGGAAAGTTTGGAGACAGACATTTTTACTCTTTTTTTTTTTTTTTTAAAAAGAATAAATTTCAAGACGAAAAAATAATTCAACAAATATAAAATAAATACTAAAGGTGAAGGTAAGGAAGTAAAGGCAAAGAGAAAAAAAAAAGGCCCAAAACTTTCCTTGGAAAAGAAACCCAATTTATAACAAGATTTTCGGGCATTTTTAAGTTATAACTTGTTATGTCGCACTAGTTATGAATATTGTTCCTTGGCATGCGATTTTTAATAAATTTGCTTAATCTAATGTGCTTTTTTTGGATCACAAGAGAAAGTTAAACGAAACTCTTTCCTTTTTTTACTTAATTTCTTTTTCCGGGAAATAATTTTAAATGCAAGAAGGGTTCGCTCAGGATTTGATACGAATAGCGACCAACCATTTATATCACTTTTCATTGGCGATTGAAACATTATTATACTATAAATAGGGAATAAAAGTAGTATTATATAATTTGAAAGGGAAAAAAAAAAAAGTCCTCTGGTGCTTCTGCCTCTTTTATTTGCTTTTCAGTAGTAATTAATGTCGTTTCAAATTAAATTTTGCATTTACCACAAATATTTTATTTACTTCTCAAAAGAGGTCACAACGCTAATAATATGTTTACTTAAATCACTTAAAGTAATTTATGAATAATTGTACATTTGATTTTGTTTCATGTAATTCTTTCTTTAACAAAGAAATGTTTTTATTTAAAAAGATTTTGCTTATCTGATCTTTTTTATCAATCAGCTCTGAAACTCATAACGATAACTGGATTATCAATTTCTTATTATATCATATTGACGTTAAAATTGAAAAAAAAAAAAATTTATTTTTGTATCACCCAAATTTTAAGCCAAATAACTTTTTTTTTCTTTGAAAATAAAAAAAAAAAACGCGAAACACAAACAAAACCCTATATGGGCAATCAAATCAAATTTCGACTTTAACGGAAGGGCGGTTACACTGTCGAGTCAAGACCTTTCAATAATATTTATAATTTTAGGTTAACTGAATCCAAAATACGATTCCGTTCTTCTCCGGGACAATGAATAAACAATATTTACAAATAAATCATGTAACACATTCGTTTTTAATTTCACTATAAGTTATCAAAATCAAAAAAACTGATTTGGTAAGTAGAATTAAATCGGATCTTTTTGAATATGTTAATTTAACGCCTAAACAGTTTATTGGTTTATTCATCGATTTTTAATGCTTTTCTCTTATCATGTAAAAATAATTTTTTTTTAAAATAAATCATTTTTAAAATATTGTTTTTTAAGAATAATCAATTCAAAAAATTTAAAAAATGGGTTTAAAATTTTTTTTTTTAAAAATAAAAAGATATTTTTAGATAAATTTAAAAAAAGTTAAGATTTATCTAATTGTAATGTTCTCATTTATATCTTTTTTCTGCATCCTAATACATCTCTATATAATTCAATTCACAATAATATTTAGGATAAAATATATGAACAATAAAAGAATCGATCTCATGAATTCGCCATCACATATTTTTTTCAATTTTAGTTTTTATAATTTAATTTTGGATGAAATTTAACCTGACATAACTCTATCAATATTTGAAGATATTAAAATTCTAATCCAAAATTCTTAAAGCGCATGTCATGGTTTATTTATTTTATGGATTAAATTTTCAATTTATATATAATAAAATTTCTTTTCATTTTAAATTTGTTCCATTTTTACTATAGCAAAGTTCCTATTATAGAGGTTCTGCACTGTAGAATTTTATTTTTACTAGGACAACTAGGATAACTAGGACAACTAGGTATATAAGAACAAGTTAAATCAAAGAAAGAAGCTTTTCTCATCCGTCCTATTTCCTGTCCTAGTTCTCAGGACAACTTGGACGCAATTTTCTGAGATTATTTCTCAGCCTAACATGAAAAAAAAAACTGTGTTGCTATATTAAAGTTATGTAAAAAAATAATTATTCTAAAATGTATACAACAAAAATAAATTCTCCTAATTCTTCTCTTTTTTTGCTTTCTTTTTGTATTTATTTTATTAACATTATGCCATGTTTTATATTTGAAAGTTATCAAGTTTCATGAAAATAAAATACATTGCAATATCATTTTATAAATAAACTTTAATCTAATCCTGATATTGAATTACTAGCCATATATGGCATCCAAATATGATTCATAACTCATACCAAAAGATTCTTCATAACCATCATCGTAATCGTAATCGTAGTTAGAACTGGAGTAATTGAATTCATCTTCTGAAGAATAATAATCGAATTCTTTAAACATACGCCTCACGACGTTGGCACGAATATATTGTAACTTTTTAGGATCATTTGTCCGGCGGCTTACTCGTGGTTGAGTTATAATCGGAGGTTGTGATTCCATCAAAGGTTTATCCGAGTGAAAGTAAAACTTTGAAGGGATTTCGTCATTTTTGTCAAAATGCCAATGTTCGGTCGAAATCTTTGAATTTTTCGAAATTTTTAAACGATAACTTTCTTTTTTAGTACCTAAAATCCCAGAAACCTGAGGTGGAGGGCTTGTTATGGCAAATTCGACCAAATTGGAACACCTTTTCAACCATTCCCAATCACAACCGTTGAAGTTCCATTTTACAAGTTCAAGACGTTTGAAGGATTCAAGCCGGGACTGAAATGTTTCGAGCAGCGATCTCCCAGATCCGTTTGGAAATACCAACCGAAGATTCAAGGGACGCGTTTGAGCAGACAAAAGTTCCTTAAGATGATTGATCGATTCTTCGGCACGTGGAACGGAAGTATCATGAAGATTAATATCCAAATGTGACTAAGTGAAATGTATGATTTTAAAAATGCCATTAGGCGTACTACAATGTCAATAAAAGAATGAAATTTTTTTTTATAGGTACAGTACGTACATTTAAAGATACTAACATACCAGTTCAGTGCAATTTTTTGCCAATGCTTTCATAACATTATTTTTGGGGAAAGGGGTGTGTATTTCAACGTAATTGAGGGAACTGAACATTGAGGCATAACATGGTGTCGTCCACAATCCATAAACTCTTTCATTATTCGCACCGGTATTATCCATAATAAAAGTTTTTAGGCGAATCTCATACTTTGTTAGCATTTGAAGTATTGCTTCAACTTTCCTAGCCCTTTCCCACGTTTCAAAACAAGCCAATAAGTTTGTATAATTGAGTTCTTTGATAAACAATGGGTAATCGAAAACAGGCTTTTGAACCGTTTGCTGCGTAGACTTTTCCGCCGTTTCAAGAAATGATTCATAAACCTTCAATGCGGTGGTACTCCTCTTCATTGTAAAACTGAATGGAGCCTTCCAATACGTTGGAACAGTGGCCCGACACCATTCTCGGTTAACCAGAAGTGCCGAATGTAAGTCACGGGCACTGAAATCTTTGATGATCTTTGTAATAACATCTACCATTGATATTAAAAAGAAAAAAACCTCTATCTGGGAAAGATGTCGGGCGGCAAAAATGTTGAATCTGATTTTTGAACAATCGGCTTTTATTTTCCTCATTCCTCATTGTTTTATCACTATATATGGCCAACTCATTTGAATCATATTGTGTTACTCTCACAACATTGTTTGTTTATATATCCCTGAACTTTAAGCTTGTTTAGCAGGCTTAAACTAACCCATTTTAAGAATTAAAGTCTAACCCAGTGATATAAATTCAAATATTTTTATAAGCGCAAAATGTAAGAATGTGTAAACATCTTGTGTAGTCATACGCGCGTTATATGTAAAAGTAAAATAGGAATTGGCGTCAATGGGCGCTGCGCCTATTGCGCAACCCCCAATATATGTCACCGAGTCTAACCATATAAACCACATCGGCTTAACTCATATATCAAAAAAAAAAATCTCTCCCAGAACAAACATACTGCATGTCAAAATTAACCGAAAATGCACTGCGGATTTACTGCGCCACCCGACACGATTTTTTTTAGCAATAAAAAGGACACTGAGTTCAGTCAACATATGGTCAACTTCTTAGCAATAAAAAGGGCACAAAGAAAGGCTAACAGGTGATTAACAACTTGAACCTCTAATGACTACAGACAGTCAGTAGGCAGACCAGAAATCTGTTTAACGATTTAACGGCTATAGACCCTCACCAACGCAAATTGCACTAAAAAACATTTATTGATGCACAGCAGATAATAAAATTAGTCACAAGTAGGTTATTTATCACATGACAACAAAATAATAGATAAGAAAAAAGCAAAGAAACATCATTTCAAAGGTAAGAAACATAACATGTATAAATAAAAAAGCAATAAAATAGTCATATTTAAGTTATTTAATTTAAGTTATTTAGTTATAATTAGGTTATTAAGTTATTTAGTCATAATTAGGTTATATGGTTATACAGTAGCGGTCATAAGTATCCGACCGCCCGAGATCGTCCAAAATTATTATATAACTACCCCTTAAATTTTC